GCTTTGAATTACATATTGCCAAGTCCTGTACAATTCGCGGTTCTTTTGGCGGGACTGTTCACGTGTTTTTCATATTACTTACGTCGGCTTGTGAATTATTATTGTATAAAGAAGAATAGTTGCATTGTGCGAGAAAAAGTAAAATAATGGTGAGGATGCAAGATATCGAAAGCGAAGATTTTTCCCATAATGATTATGAAGAGGTGGACATTGAAAATAGTGGAAGTGATTCTTCTGTAGCCTTATTGAAGACGATTGTAGCCGTATTGAGACAGTGTAATCTGTGCTCATGTAAAAACGATTCCAGAGGTAAGCTAAATAGAAAAGACAAGATAACAGAGTTCAGAATGTCAGGTATCACTTTGTGTTGTTCCTTGATTCAAAAACTATCATACAAAGACTAGTATTTAACTTTTTTCCATTTGCCCGAGAAAACTCGGGATAGTAAACTAATATTAAAACTAAATGATTTTACACCTGTAAAAAATTAAAAATTCAAATTTAAGCCTATATATTTTGTTTGTTTCATTTCCTTGTATTTAATAATAAAATTTTTAAAAATGTGATGATTTTTTGCATTTTTTAAAAAAAAAAAATTGTAAGGGAAGCGGTTAATACAAGTCAAGCATCTTTACATTTTTCAAACAAAATAAACATACAATTTAGTGACTATTTAATTCCATAGGTAAACTCAAGCGATTTTACGACTACCTCATGTATATTACTAATATATTATTAATTTTAGTAAATATTGAAATATATTTGATTGAGTTAGAAATATTAAATCAACAAATTTATACTCGAAATTCTGAAATATATTCAAATAGATTTTCATACATACATACACATATACATCATTATTTATCGTAGAGTTTGGAGATAAAAAAAAATAATTTATTAATTTTATATAAAGTGTTATAAAGTTTAAAACATCAAAAAACCTTTACTTTATTTATATTAGGGTTGCGAATTGGTATTTTATTCATGAAGACCTAGTACATCCCCAGAGCTAGTACCTCTTTTACATTGAGACAACACACAGGTCAAATAACAAAAGCCGCAAGTAATTTTGTCAGCCAATATTATCCACCGATGGAGCCACCTGAGCTCTGATAAGGAAAAATCGTATTAAGGGTTTTTAATTTGGACCTAATTTGATCTTGAATAGTTGTTTGGCGAGGGCACCCACGCCAAATAGGTACTCAAGGTATATTTTTCATGCCGCATAATCATACGACATACATTCTTTTCATTATGAAAATTCACCGACTTGGGCCAAGGTCAAACCCCCAAACCTGACTAAACCAACTATGCCACTCTTCCGGCTATGAAAATATTAACAGTTTTTTTTAAGGAACGTGAATTTTATGTTTTTAAAGGATTCCTAAATACAGAGAATCATAAATTGAAATTTATAAATCGTACATATTAATGAATAATATGTGCTTCACTTGGATAATCAGAACTTAAGATCTTTTAAGTAATAAATAGTTAAAAAAAACAACCTTAAATGTGTGTGAACAAGCCAGATTTTCTCGATGAATAACAACATTAGTAGAAAGTGATATATAGTAAATAGAAGATATAAAAAAAGAAAATGTTACGTAATAATATTATCTCATATATTTTTCCAATAAAAAGGAAGATATGGGTCTCAATATTTTTGTACAATCATTGCAACAAATATATGTTTGAGAAAAATATTTATTTTCCCCAAATAACTAATGATTCTACTTCGTGTCTTTTAACTTTTTCTTCGAAATAAGCAATAAAAATTCAACTGTAAATTATAGTTTTAGTTAAGACCTGAGTTTCAATTTTTAAAAAAAAAGCTGTAGAATATTTTTTTTAAAGTTTCCATAATAAATAATTTTACTCGAAGAAATAAATGTGTTTATTCTACATTTACCTGCTTACAATATTTCATTGTATGTAATTTTCAAGACAATCTATACTGTTCCAGTTTATGACAATTTATTTACAAATTTCAACAGTGTAACTTTTAAATAAAATTGTTTGTTATATCGGGTTTTTTCCCATTTCATACATGTTTTTATACTTGCTTTCTCTAAACATTTTGCAAATTTCTGAGATTTCTGTATTTTTCCCAAAATACCTAGTACCTTCCAATTCAATCCGTATTTATCTAAATTATTGCTTTTAATTTTTATTTCTTAAAATTTTTGGGGTTTATTTTAAAAAATAGATAATTCCCTTTAAGATTATATTTTTTCCCGGGAAATTTAAAAGAAAAAATAATTCCCAAAAAACCTTAATGTATATTTATTTTTAGAAGATCTGTTAAAAAAATGGGCCTTTGTTTAAAAAGCATTTTAAATTTTTTGATACATTACCTTGAACCAGGTCCGACGTGGGCACACATTAAAAATTGTATGCCTCAATTTGACGCCGTCATACAATTGACATTAGCAACAATAGCTAATTTCCAAATCATTATAACCAGGAAATTGAAATGAATAATAATGAAAAATTTCTTTACAGGTGTTTAGTAGGAAAAAGATGCATATAAATATATATTAACTAGGTTGAAATTCCTTAAATTTAAATTTTCGTTACTTAATTTTAATTTGCTTTGTTTTTTTAAATAAATCCATTTTATCATTACATTCAATAAGGAAATTTGACATAGTTGCTATACGTTGGGAATAAAGTTGATAAATATACCGAATAAAGGTTTTAAACAAAAATGTTATGCAACACAAGAAATAAAAATTACAGTTTCATTCTACAATTGCATTTCTCACAAATGCCCTGCAGACCTTGTCTTTTGCAAAGTTGGAATTCGGTTTCTCATGTCAATTGAAACAACGGGTGATGAAAATGTATTCACTTTTTCCCTCTAGAAAATCGAAACAGCACTTAGGAAAACTGGTAAATTTCCGTGCACGGTAGTTTAAAACTTAGATATTCTCTTCCCAAGGCAATTTTCGAAGCGTCTGATGTCACATTCTTATTAAATGAAATACGTTTCACAGGAAATGAGTTAGAGGAAAACTTAAAACATTCTGCCCAAAACATGCCTTACTCGTAACTACATATTTACTAACTCAGTTTCTTCTCTTTTGATTTGGTCTCAATTCACAAAGTGTTCGATAACACCAGAAGTCATATAATTCTTATTTCTCCTCTAGCAACAGCTTATATTGTACAAGCTATGTTAGAATTTTTGTTCATTTTATTAGCAGAAAAATTTTGATAGGTATTTTGCAATAAATATGATTTCCATTGAATTATTTTACCCAATTAAAAGCTTTACCATTATTCATATGTATCATTTTTTTTTTAAATTTGAAATAGTTTGTCTGAAAATTGAATTCGGTGATATGTGTGTGAAGAAATAATTTTCATTTCTAATGTTTTCCATCAAGTGTCTAACGTAAAAAACACATTTACGATATTTTTAGTTCCCTAAATTTTCAATTTTAGATTAAATGTATTTGATGTATTTGAAATGTTTATATAGCAACGTTCTTGACTTATAGCAATTATTAATTAAAACATTTGGAAATTTTTCTTTGATTTTTTTAATATTTAAGAATGCTCGTAGTCTATAGGTAAAAAAGTTGATTAAAAAATTTTTTTGATAAGTAAACCTTTCTATTTTCGTAGTATAATCAAAATTAAAAATATAGTGTTAACTACTAAAAATACTGCTATAATATTTTGCACTTTAAAATACTACATTAAGCATTTATAGCATATACCTTATTTATTGATCATTTTTTCATCACAAAAAATGTTTAATAAATTACGGCAATATGCATTTATAAAAAAAATGCTTTTGAAACATCTTTTAATAGCATAAATGTGCATGATATATATTAAGAAAGAATCAGCTTTTGATTACCTGATGTGTTCTAATCTTTGATAGAAGCTAAGGCATGCTCGAATGTTAGAATATTGATCTGAAGTCAATAAAATAAACTTAGATATTACGTTTTCATTTCAAACTACCCCTTTTGAAAAATAAAGGGGTGCAGAATTTAAAATTTGGGGCAGTATCAAAAAATTTTAAAGGGTGTGGTGAAGAACTCAGATCACTAAGGTGCCTTCTTTTCGTAAATGTTCATTATTAGGAAGGACATTTTCAATTATCCACCCTTTCAAATTAAAAAAAGATTAGTTTTTTTTACCCCTTTAAATTATTAGTGTGCTGGGAAAAATTTAAAATATTTTAAAAAAAAACTAATTTGCTTTTTGAGAAAAGGGGCCCTTTAAAATGAATGAAAGCAAGATACTGTATCATCTTTTAAAATACAGTCGCAAACAAAATTTTAAACTTACAAAATGTTTTATTTAATCTCAACGCGTAATCGGAAAAGGAAAAATGCTGCATATGCAAATCATATAATAACGTCAGGAGCAAAGTATAGGTAAATTGATTCAAGATTTTGGTTCGTTACAAAAGAATTGTAAAGTCAAAATAAACACGTACAAAAGTTTACGTTCGCAAATGACTTCTCTTCTGCGAATTACTTTAGTAAAACTTTTTACGGGGTTTATCATAATGCCATAAAATCCTCATAAAAAATTTTTTAAAAAAGGGGGCGGGTTTTTTTTATAACAGCTTGGAAAAAAATTTTTGTTTTTTCAGGGGAAAAGGGTAAAATAATCTTATTGGTTTAAATTTAGTTTTTAAAAACTGATAAGAACTCAAGTAAGACTGATCCCCTTTAAAAAGTAATATAAAAAAAAATTTAAATCAACCCCAATTAGGTCAAAAAGAAAAATTTTTTTTTTGGGTTTAAAATTTTTTTCAAATAGCTGTTAAGTAAATATGTATATACATATGACAGAATCTCAATAAAGTGACAAAAAGAGAAAATTATTTTTTTTTAAATTTTTCCCTTTTTTCTTCTATATATTTAAATTTTTGACTATTTTTTTGTGATTTTTATTACTATTTATATATTAATTATTTTTAATTATTTTAATAAAATAGTATAGCAAAAAATAAAACACATTCTCGGAAATTAGGCCAACCCAGATGGAATTCGAATCCATCACCTTCGGATTAGAAGTCCAATGCGTTATCCATTGCCCCTACAGAGCAGAGAAAAATTTCTATTTTATGTTTTGGAATTTATTGTTTGTTACTATTTATTCATTTTAAATTTTTAAATTTAAAAAATTAATATTTGGAAAAAATGTATTAACATCCATTAACAAGTTCAAAAAATTTACTTAATTTGGGAAAGGGGTGAATAAAAATCTTTTTTTTAAAGACTGAAAAAATTTTAACAAGAAAAATATATATATAAGGAGAGACACCTTTATCTTAGTCTATGGGTAAAGGGAAAATAGGGGGTGCAAAAATCCTCTAGTTTTTAAAATGCCTTTTTTAGCGTAGGGGTGGGGGACCGAAGAAAGAGTCATTGATGATACTTCAACAAACTTTTTGTTCTAATCAGTTTAAATTTTATTCCTTTTTTTCAGTTTTTAAGGGATTCCCATGTTTGAAACCATGATTTTTAAAAAAAAAAATAAATGTATAATTTTCATGATATTTAGTGTCACTTAGATTAGAATACATGTATAAAATTTTTTTAAGAACATTATGACAGAAAAAGTATTTAAATACAATATTTTGGCAAAAATTGAAGTTAGAATAATCTTTTTTCCAAATGTTCTCCTTTTGTAAAAAATGCTTCTATTGTATTAATATTTTGCCTGTATATATCTCAGACCTCTGTACAAAAGCTCAACTAGAAGTTTTGAAAAATTCACATTATTTTCAGAGTTACAACCATTTGAAATAATTATCGGCGTATTTTCTTAAAATTTATCCCTTCTGTTTTCGTAAAACATGGATAAATCGACTTCTAAGTTATGTGTTTCCAAAATTCTAGTTGAGCCTCTGTAGAGATGTCTGAGCTGAATACAGGCAAAATATTAATACAATAGAAGCATTTTTTACAAAAGGAGAACAGTTGGAAAAAGGGTTATTCTAAGTTAATTTTTTGCCAAAATATTGCATTTAAATAAATGTTTTTTGTCATAATGTCATTAAAACAATTTTATACATGTATTCTAATTTAAGTGATACTATATATCATAAATATTATCCATTTACACGCTTTTGAAAAATCACGTTTCCGAACGTAGTCGGATACCTTAAGAGAGGATCAGTCTTTATCTATAGCAATAATCATTCTTAAAAATCTTATCAAGAGTATTGATAATAATACAGACACACGCCGTCTTCCTTGGACTCGAGCATCAATTCCCCAAATCTTATGCTTAGATACGTAGACAATTAGAAATACTAATCTCACTAGCATAAACACATGTGTTTACTAGCTTTCGCCTCGAACACGATTCACTTAACTCTTTAAACAGTTATTTTAATTTGCATGTATCATGGTTACTTTATAGAAAGAATCACTTCTACCAATTATCTATAATGTTTTATTGTACTGATCGCCAAAAACCAATCTTAAATTTCAGGGCTATATACCGAAAAAAGAACTTCGCTGCTGGTTTTGTAGATTATTGTACATGGTTTTCGTATCTTACTGCAAATGCAATACAGTTTTATTATTGTTGTTGTTTTGAACCATAGAGATTACTTAACAACCATTTTTTTACAGATTTCCTGTTGCATTCATTGCCATATTTTTCCATAACATGTAAACTAAGAAGAATTTACGATGTAATTTTCAGTGTAAAACATTTTATAATAAACATTTAATAGTATAAACATTTTAAAATACATTCATATTAATTACAACGGGAATGTACTCTTACAAAGAAAACATATACATTTAACCCGCGGTCACTCGGGCCTGTTTTTGATGCCGTCGTTACTCGCGGGGTGTAGAGAACACCCCAAACTTTTAACACATGTATTTAATTATGAAAATAAAATTAAGTCATTATGATACATATTTATAAAGTACAAGATGTTTTTGTATTATGCAGATAAAATTATTAATTTTATTGCATACAAATGAGACTAATATTAATTTAAACTAAGCATACAAATTTTTCGTTTTAAAACACATAATTTTATATTTTTTCATAAACCAATATAAAATGTATATACCAGTAATAAATATACTTTATAAGTAATGAGATAATGATAGTAGAAAATATAGAAAAATAATATTTTAATCATTTTCCGAACATTCACAGCAGACTGCATACATATGCTCAACTTCTCGCCGGAGTTCTCAGCCCCCAGATAAACTTTTGAAGGTCATTACCTTCCAATCGTTCGAGAAAGAGGAATTGCATCATGCCTGAAGGTTCAATGACCTAAAATGTGCAGCTACAGAAAAACTCGTGGTTCTGCGCATTCTTTTTGGAATCCTGGGAGGATTTTCTTGTGGCTGGGGTATACAGAACACCCTTTGCGAGTGATCGCGGGTTAATCGTGCAAGTTGTATCAATAAATTTCCATGCAGCATTCTAGATAATATATATAAATACTAATATTTTAAATGGGAATATTTCAAGCTGTGTGTACATTTATTATTATATATGAAATGCATATATTTTAAAAATATGTATTATATATTCACACATAGCATAGATTTGTTTATCACTCATACTTTAAGAGCAAGTGTAAAATCCTAACTTGTTTAGTTTTGCGATGTTTGTTTTACTGAAAAAAGAATTTCTTTGGAAAAAAAAGTTTTACCCCATAACCGCATATATATTATGCCGTTTTAATAAATATATTAATTAGTTAAAATATGCGCTTAAATTAGTTTAAAATGTGTACATTGCCTTTATTAATATCTTTACGTAATTAACTTTTTGAATAAATTTTACGTGAAGTTCTCAATTAAAAATCTTTAAATGAAACGATAAAGTAAGAGATAATATTGGAAAATTAAATTTTTGATATGCTCTTTTTTTCAAATGTACAGAATTTCTGACTTTTTTCGCCTCGAATTATAGAAAACATTTAACTCTAAATTTGGTTTAGAATGAAATCCTTAGCAATTTTAATGCTCTCTGTTTTACTCTGCAGATAACTTGTAACTTAACTTTATGTTAACTTTGAGACAATGAAGTCATCGTTATCGCTAACTGGTAACATCTTTTTTTTTGTCGAACTTGAGGTCTTAGGCCTGGTACCTGAAATATTTCATAATTTAATTATGCGTAACTACACTCAGACTTCCATATTACGAACCTCTACGAATTTTTCTATACAGCGAACATTTTTCTGGAATCAAGAACATTTCAAGATTTTCTTCGTAAAATAATCTCCCAATAGCGAAGTCCATTTTCTATATAACGAACGTTTTCTCTTGTGATTGAATTTTTCTCCCTAATTTTTACGTTTTTCTGGAGATTTCAATTTATTCTCTCTGTTAAATCATTTTATGGTGGTCATAAACCTTCAACTGGTTTTATTAGGTGTCTAACTCGCCGAAAGCTATAGAATTCCTGGCATATCGTTCAAAATGTATAAATTTTAATCCCCACTGTCCAGTTAACTGGAAATATCATCGATATCCCATTTCTCCCTCAGTTGAGTTTTCCCGTGGTCCCGTGTCCTTGAATGTTGATCAGTCGTATTGCTAACTCCGTTTCAAATGGCTCGAAAATATCAAAACATAAGTGCTTGAGCATCAAAGAAAGAAATTCAATTCTTCAGGAAATGAATTAAGGCGTCAAAAGAAACTTTCCTTGTAGTTTTTTTTGATAGGTACGATGTATAAAATAAACATATATTAATTTACAAAAAGATGGGAATAATTACTTTTTTTACTATATAGGGCTTATGAGTTTAAAATTTGTTTTAAGTGGTTTATCAAGAAAATTGAAAGTTGAACCTCTATATAACGAATTTTCCATATAACGAACTTGTTTTCGGGATTTAGCGACTTAGTTATATAGCGGACCGAATGTTTTTTTTGAAATATGTGCTTTAAAATACAACTTAAATAATATTTTTTAAACAAAAATCCGATTGACGTTTTTGAAAAATTATAATCTAATAAATTAAGTAAATCAAACAAAAAAAATATTACTATTTTTATAAATTTTACGTGCAGTAAGAATTTGTTCAAATTTAGAATTGTTACTTAAAAAAAGGGCATGGAGACATAATACTTTCTAAATAGAATAAATCGACAAATAATGGAATTTTGCTAAAAATAATCAAACATTACTTCCACCGCACAAGTCACATATCGGTGGAATCACATTCATTGAATAGAATTCATTTCCTCATGTTTTTATTCATGCTGCAATTCACATGCAAAGTAACTGGCTATTGTTAACCCCGAAAGTGATGTGGGTTTAACGTAATGTTGTTATAAGTACAGGACTTTTTATTTGCCTTTCCATTTCCAAGACGTTATGGTGTCTAATTCAGGCATAATAACGAGTTATTAGAGCTAAAGTTTCCTTCAGCAGTTTGATTTGACTTTGTTTACAAAATCGTTTATAACAGTACTCGTGTGATGCATAACTTTGAATCACTTTTGAAAAATACTAAGTAAGGGAAATAAAAGAAATAAATTCTTTTGAACAAGATTATTTTGTACAATATTTATCACAGAGGATAAATTGGCCTGCATAAACAAAACGATTTTGTGTTTTTGATTATCAATAAAAGTTAAGTTTATCCAAGCCATGAATTTTGTAGTAATTAATATAAGGGAGTATATATATATATATACACGAGGCGATTAAATTAAGAAATGAAAACAAAGGGGGGGTATAAATCAATTTTTAATAAACTTGAATGAGTACAATTGCATTACACTCCTTCTATGTAATTACCAACAAAGCTTATAGGCTTTGAAGTCGGAAAGCAATTGAAAACCATTCACAAGCTGTTGATTGTTGATGTTGATTGCCTACAGAACGAGGGTACAGGTAAAACGTCATGAATTTGGTGGTCTTGGAGAGGTCTTTTGAACTTCGGAAACAGATCGAAGTCACAAGTACTCATGTCATATGAGTACGGAAGATGTTCCAAGATTTTCCACTGCCATCGTCGCAATAGGAGAGTGGCTTTGTTTGTGACATGACAACAAGCGTGGTCATGAAACACGGTAAGAGAATTGTTTTGCAATGCTTCGCTGCATA